CAAGAAAGATTTTGTTTTACTCACACACATGAAACTTTTTGAAGTATTGTGTTTCATTAACAAAAGTTTCGAGTACAAAAAAAAAACAACTACTACAATTGAGCTCGGAGGCCTGGGATATACATTGTATATAGGGGGGTCCAAGAAAAGAGGCACGTCTAAGCATCAGATATGCCAGAATCACCTTCAGCAGGTAGGTCGCCTCGAGCACTTTCCCCTTCGGAGGAGTTGGGTTCCTCGTTAGCCTCCTTCGCCATCTTAGGAGTGACGGTGGACATGGAAATATACCTAAAGTCGAGCTCGGGAAACTTCTGCCGCATCAGCCACTTGCAAAGCTTGAAGCCCGACCGGTATGAGCTAGATTCATACTCGACCTGGAGTTCATGATACTCAATGGACTCCTTGAACTCCTCGACGACGCGATTTCTCTCTTGAACCCACGCCTCCTACATGGCGGTGTCAAAGATCTCGATGCGCTCCTTGATCATTGCCTCGAGGTTCCCGTTCTCCCAGAGGAGAGCCTCCTTCTCTCCTTTGAGCTTCTTCTTCTTCCCCGTCAGCACAAGGATCAGCTCCTCCTAGCTCTGAGTTCCCTTCTTGGCTCAAAGAACCTCACCCGGAGCTAAATCCAGCTCATTGTAAAGCTTCTGAGTGTTTTCTTCAGCCTCCCGAGCTCGCATCAAGCGGATCTCGGACTAGTAGACGAGTGAGTGGATAGCGGAGCTCACCTAGCAAATAGAAAGCAAGCGTAAGTACCATTAACAAAAGAATGAGAAAGTAAACAAAGGGGCAGGTTACTCACCACCATGCAGTAACTAGTCGCTCTTCCCCCGAGCTGATTCGTTGGCATGTCAGCCCATTCCTTGACCTCCGTAGGAATCATGACATCCTTGCTCTTAAGAAGCCCGAACCACGGAGTCATTATTCTCTCCTTCACTGAAGGGGTTGAGGCTTGGGCACCGAAGTACCCTCAGGCTCGCGAGGTGGGGTTCCCTCATCCTGGTCCTCGTCCAAGTCAACAACTGGAGGCTGGGGGCGAACCTCCTCCAGGAGCTTGGCCAAGATCGGCTCTGGCGCAACGACCTCAGGTTGGAAAGGATCCGAAGAACTGGCCTCCTCTTGATGGGACCTCTTGAGGCCTTTCTCTTCTTTCCCTTCTGAATACTCTTTAGAAGGTTAGCAGCGTCAACATTCGTCATAGCTTATGCAAGAGAAAAGAAAAGGAGTTAGCCACGAACTTAATTAAGTGCAAAAAGAAAAAAAGGAAAAGTCATGTGTGTGTCGAGGTGGAGGCCTACCAGGAGGACTCAGCCCAGCTCGTACAAGCTTTTCCTCAGCCAATAAATCTTTCATTTCAAGGTGGAGGTCCCTCCAAGAGTTGATGATCGCCCTAATCTCAGCATCCGAACAAAGAAATATCTCCTCTTCCAGGCCAACTCTTTGTTCGGGTTACCGAACAAAAGCTTGAACCCAGCGTGAGGAGAAATATAATAGCTCAGCCAGGTGTCCCCGCACAAGCAAGAAGAGTTCTTCTTGATGGAGCAAATCAAACTAAAGATTTCTAGGGTAAGAGGTCAGTTATACTCGTGGAAAAGTGAGGTCGTGCCAACAATGGTACGGATAGAGTTCGAGTGTATCTGGTCAATGGTGATGTTGAAGAACTTAATGATTTCTATGATGAAAGGGCGGAGCGGCAAGCGCACCCTAGCTACAAGCTGCTCCTCAAAAACCGTGAGCTCGTGGTGACCGTGAACCCAAGGGTATTGACCCAAAGGAATACTGAAGATAAGGGCGTCGGGGAGACGGTAACGGGCTACCAAGGACAACAATCTATCCAAGGTCTTCGTGGAAGGATCAAAGTCGTTTGGATCCCGACCTCGAGAAGAAGATGGGACCCCCCCTCCGGATGTCGGTCGCTCTATCTGAGGATCGGGTTCCTCAAGCTGAGATGGCCCGACGTCAGGCAAAGGCATTTCTCCTAAAAGGTGTAAGGAAGAGCTCTCTAGCAAAGAACTGTCCCCACCAACGGGAGCCAAGGACCGCACCTCGGCACCCTCGGGTTCACTAGTATCGCTAAGTAACCTATCTATGCTAGCACTAGACATATTGGACAGGAAAAGGAAAAGGGAACAACTAGTGGAAGAAGACAAACTCACCAAAAAGACAATAACGACCTCAGACACGAAAGGGAAGAATGGCGAGCTAAAGGACTCCGACGCGACCTCAGTAGAGCTTAGTTACACAAGTTATGGCGAAGGTAATGGGCCCTTCGGCCCTTTATTTATAGTCCACCACATTCGGCAATCAACGGTTGAGACTTGTACGATCCGATGACTCCCATGAAAATCAACTGTACGCTACCCGAGGACGAAATTGATTGAGTGCGCCCTTTGGCATCCACGGAGTTTATAAACAATGTGACGTCTGCGCATGCCCGAGACGTGACTTGGGTCATTTCATGGTTGAGTTAGATGGTTGAATAGGCCTGACCAATAGTTCGCCCTCCAAATTGTCTAGACTTCGTGCCAAATCCACCTGAACTTGTCGTGAACTCCCCGCACCGGGTTGGAACCACTGGCACGAGGAGTGGGGGGCAATTGATGAATTTGGCACGACCTAGTAAGAAGAGGACATGTAGACGCGGTCTGCTTGAGGGATGACAATTCAGCCGAACGAACCCATTTCGCAACATTCGGAGCTCGAGTACCCCGTCACCTCGGCCTAAGAAACCACTTTGGCGTAGAGACACCTTGATACCCATTCCAGTTCGGGACTAAAGAATCGAAGTGCCAGTTCGGAGCTAATGAGTCGAAACGCCACATAACCTGCTCCAAAGGCCTCCCCAACGGACCCCAAATTTCTCGGGATCACGATGAGGCTTGTCCTAGCTCCGTCTGAATTGGGGGTAAACGATAAACCTTATCAACATATTGCTCTCATTCAAAAACGGAACAAACCTTATCTGCACAGCTCGGAGATCCCGGAGCTCTTTCGTAAGGCCCATGGCTACTCCATTATATAAGGACATAAAATTTCAAGGCAAAGGTACATGTGATTATTTTACTCACTAGCATTCAAGCACTCAAGATTCAACTCACATTTATAGTAAAAGTATTGACTTAAGCATCGGAGCGACCTCGCCGGGTCAGCTACCCCGAGTTCTCTGATCTACTATTCTGCAGATCGGTTCAGCTCGCCGCCCAACCAGAGTTCTGGTCGTCTTCCAGCTAGGAGTATTTAGATCGTGCACCATCAATACCCATGGGAGGCGGAGACACCCTGGGCTCACGGGGAAGCCCGACCATCATTGGTCCGAGCCTTTGGGCCAATGAGTGGCTGGAAGGTGTCGAGATACTTGGTGGGTGAGTGCCACTGTGAGGGTGGTTTTGCCATTTTTGACACGTTGTTCGATAGGGGGCATGGGGGTAGATGGTTGGCAATACCAACTCCACAACGTGGGGTGATGTCCCCTTGACACCCCCACGGGAGGTGAAGAAGCCTCGAGCTCACGGGGAAGCCCAATGGTGGGAAACAGTGTTTGGGCCGATGGGCGACCAGAAGGTGTTGATATGCTTAATGGGGGAGTGGCAATAGGATGGTGTAGGTTTAGTCGGAATAGAACACCTCTATACTTGTTGGACTGCCCAGTGGGTGGTTTTGCCATTTCTGGCATGTAGTCCTGAGGGGGGGGGGGCACGGGGTAAATGGTATTGGTCGGTGGTACCACCTCCATAGTGTGGGGTGAGGTCCCCTCAACGTAACGGGAGGCGGAGACACTCTAGGTTCACTGGAAGCCTGATGGTAGGAAATAATGCTTTTATAAAACCACCGTTTTTCATTGTCGATCCGGTCGACACAAAACTCCGCACCAGCCGGAACGTCCAATGGATGATTTTTCCATTTTTAAAACGCTGCCCCGAAAGGGATGCGGGGTAGATGGTCGGTCATACCACCTGCACAACATGGGGTGAGACCCCATTGACGTCCTCGCGGGAAGCGGAGACACATCGGGCTCACGGAAAAGCCCGACAATGGGAAACTTACTTTTGCTGACACCACCGAACTCACAGCTCCATCCCACCATCACCATGCATTGGGAACATCTCCGCATAAATAACAACACAAAACATATGAGAGATGTTTCCGATGTACGGCTGAGACGCGTTGTATGCGTAACGTTGGTGTGAGGAGCCAACTCCCAAAATGCATCCAAATGCCGTGATTTCAGGTTTTAGTCCAACGCGGATTACATCTCTCTGTCTCTTTCTCCCAAGTTGTACAGTTTTCAATCATTCAATGTAGATCGTGGTGCTTCTATTAACCAATCAGCAACCCATATTGTACTTTACTGATCTCGTGTAAACTTAATCTCTCCATCCATTAACCACTGGCCGCTTGATTAAGATCTTACGGTATAAAGTGTATTATGGTGTAACATAAAGAGCACATGACCTTTTTTTTCCTGAAAAGGATCTGTTTTACCTTGTCAAACAGTCAACACCAACCCCTCTTTTAATGAAAAAATATTAGTGATATTATCAGGTACTGCGATAATATAATAATAATTTACTACTATGACAATTATTTTAGGGTCCCACGACCCACGAGATAGATACTTGTGTTGAAGGCTATTTAACCAATAATAACGCACCACGTCATTATCAAGCATATACCTCCAACTACTTTTCGAATTTCCTACTTCACACACCCACCTCACAGCACGTTGCAGCCGCACATCGAGAACATCTCCCTCACTGCACTTGTTTTCATCAATGAGAGATATTCCTAATGTACGGCGGGCGTGAGGAGGATTCCGTGGGATGGATGTTTGGATTCCTAACTACTTCACTCTCATTCTCCTCAGACAGCCATCAATTGCAGCTGATTTGGAATTCAATTTGTCGCTTCATCGAATCCCAACCGTTAAATACTACGGGGTGTCGCTTCATCGAATCCTCAACTCCTTATCAGTACCTGTAAGGAAGTTAGCAAGAGGTGGGGTCTGTAACGGTGGGTTGTTTTAAATCCCCGCCAGCAATGCCCAAAAAAAGCAAACGAACGATAACACACTCCTATCGATGTTCTACTTCTTCCTGTTTTCTCATTCCGCTATCTGTTGACCGATCCTTCTTCCTTCTCTGTTCTCTTGCTTCAGCTTCAGAAGTTTATTTATTTATTTTTTTTTGAGCAATTAGATCGAACAGAAGAAGAGGAAAATGGGTTCGTTCAGTGGAGTGGATGAGTTCTTGAAGCATTGTGAGCAGTCGGGAGACGCGGCGTACGGTGCCTTCAAAGCTTTGCTGGAGAAGCTGGAAGATCCGACCACCAGAGCCGAAGCTCGGGTCTTCTTGGCGAGTCTGCAGAAGCGTTTCGATTCGAAGGAGGACTCAGATCGATGCCTCCAGAAATTCCATTTCCGTATCCACGATATCCATCTTGCCGACCACCAAGGTTCTCTCCTTCTCCTCATTTGCCTTTTTCCACCTCTGTTTTTGCGCGGACATCGTGTTTTTCCATTTGGATACGGGTTCCTTTAGTTGATGACTTATTCTTCATTTCCGCTACTTTTTTTTTTTTTCCTCTATTTGTGTATAAGTTTAGTAACTGCACAGTGGACCGACTCTTGATCAACCAGACATTTTTCGTTTTTCCTTTGTTTACTTTATCTGGTTTTGTTCTCATGTAGCCGACAATGTTTTTTTTTTTTGAGTTGAGTTGGGTTCGTTCTCTTATTCATTTTAGCTACAAAATTGAAGGCTCTTATTGGATCAGCCAGCGTTTCGTTAAAACGTTAGAGGCAGTTAAAGAAAAAAAGAACGAAACAGACAGAAATTATGTTGTTAGCTTCTGGAAGCAAGATCATCTCCGATATATTACTGTTTGTTGAGGCTGAAAGGGCACAGAATACACGAGTTGCACTCCCTTGCCACCTCAAAATGAAACAGAAAAGGAAAAAGGAAAATAGATAAAGAGGGAAGCGAGTTTGTTAGTTTTGTCCTCCCAAACTTCTTCCATGTGGAAACAAAATGTTTTAGAAGATATTATAATGAATTGAAAGACGACCACTTGATTACTGTCTCTTTAGAATCTGGTTCTCCTCTTACCTTGTGGATACAAGTCCTCGTTGTTAGCTCCACCCTGCAAAAACAAAATCTCCCAATTGTAACTGGGAATTGATGATATTAATCAACTGAAAGTAATCGAGGCACCAAATTTAACATATTATTGAAGCATCCTTTATCGTTGACCAGTATGAATCATAGGATGACCTTGGTCTTTTCACTTGATCACGCCCCAGTGTGATTTGGTTCCATTTAGGATATAGTGTCTATAATATTGGTTTAGTTGATGAAGTTTCAGTCAATATTGTCATCATGTCAGCGTTGCATTCAGTGTGCTGATACCCTTATCTCCCCAATTTCAGGCTATCAGAGGAGGAAGAAATTGACAATGATGGTGATCCCAAGCATTTTCATTCCAGAAGACTGGTCCTTCACTTTTTATGAAGGATTGAATCGGCATCCTAGTTCTATATTCAAGGACAAGATAGTTGCTGAACTTGGTTGTGGAAATGGATGGATATCCATTGCCCTTGCTGAAAAGTGGTCTCCGCTGAAGGTTTGTACTTTCTTTTTTCACCACTGTAATTTTCTGAGAGAAGCTGGAACTGCATCTTTGGTTCTTAACTCGTGCCTTGAGGTTGAGGACCTTTCATTCATGAACAAAAAAGGTTATTGTTGCTGGAGATGAATCTTTCAGTATTTTACCCTTATTTACAATTCTAAATATATACCTAAACTTTTGCAGTTTGTCATGAGTCCCATCGTTAAGAAGGGATGTATTATATTGTTATTTCCTGCTTTTTAGTAGTTTTCTAAGAATTGTCTGCACCACTGTTTTCAGATTTATGGCCTTGATATAAACCCAAGAGCAGTAAAAGTTTCATGGATAAATCTGTATTTAAATGCTCTGGATGAGAATGGGCAACCAATCTATGATGGAGAGAAGAAAACTTTACTAGACAGGGTGGAGTTTCATGAATCTGATCTGCTAGCTTATTGTAGAAATCACAACATACAATTGGAACGAATTGTTGGATGCATACCTCAGGTATTGTCAAATTATATATCTCCAAAAGATGTTTTGTTTTAAGTAACTAGTATATCCTTAATGCTATAAGTTTGTAGCTCAACTACTAAATGTCTGTAGGGATGCAGATTGATTGGACTAGAAATGGAAAATACCTAGATCCAAATTTTATCCACTAACATTCAGATTTTAATCAAATATTATCCATCAGATTCAGATATTACCTGTTCTTATGGAAGAATGATTAGGGTATTATATATTAGTGATAAAATAATCTAGAAATTATTTTATTGATAAGCAACTAGGAATTACTTTGTTATATTATATCATGAACAAAGTGACTTAAAAATAATTTCTACGATACTTGAATCTATAAATCTTTAATAAAGCTACAACATCGAAGCCAACTTTACTAATAAATATATGTTTAAATACTGTTGGCTTTGGGGTGGATGCATATTCAATCAAATTATACATGGATCAAATTATGAAAAATAGATATTATTTGCAGCCCTAATATCATGCACCAACACATGTATACATACATATGACTGATGCTTTGGTGTAATGGTAAAATCTTGGGCTTACATGCATGAGAATACCTGCTTGAGACTTAGATCATCCACTTTATGCAAAAGAAAAAAGAAATACCAAAGCTTATGTCTATGGCCTTTTCTATCCACCCTATTTGGCAGAAATAGAGTAGGTCATGTAGGGAAGTTCCCTACTTGGAACTTCCATAAATTTATTTCTTTCTTGAAAGGATATCTTTATTTTTATTTTCCTTCTTGTTTTCAGATACTCAACCCAAATCCAGAGGCTATGTCAAAAATGATCACAGAAAATGCAAGCGAGGAATTCTTATATTCGTTAAGTAACTATTGTGCCCTTCAGGTGAGAAAAGCTTATGGCCAAGTTCATATTTCTTTCATTGATATTAGTAACTTGTTGGCACTTTGCAAATTACTAAAGCCCAAATCCAAAAAGTAAACTCTTGTACTTGTCAGTCTGGAAGTTTTATTGATATCTTGTGTGGCTGGTACATGTAGTGAACTTTGTTGTGCACAAACTTTATAATGATATGTTTTGTGTTAGGTTCATAATGTGATCTTTCAGTATATACCCAAAGTCCCACTATTTGACCCAAGGGTCTGAATGATAATATTGTCAGGTTTAAGAAAACCCAGTATGTATTGTTTATTTTGTCCAGGGTTTTGTTGAGGATCAGTTTGGTTTAGGTCTCATTGCCCGAGCAGTTGAGGAAGGAATAGCTGTCATCAAGCCTACGGGAATTATGATCTTTAACATGGGAGGTCGTCCAGGACAAGGTGTATGCAAGCGCTTGTTTGAACGTCGTGGTTTCCGTGTAACAAAGCTTTGGCAAACTAAAGTTATCCAGGTTAGTTGTCTTAATTATCTTTGATTTGGTTACTGCTAAGAAAGGTAACACAGAGAAGAAGCTTATTTTATTTCCAATTGCATGACTGTCTGTCATTAGGCATCATGATCATAAATAAAGGTTGATATTTGGTTGTGTCCCTTGAGGGGTGAGCCTTGGCGCAGTGGTTGCGTTGTTGGTTGTTCCATTGCGACCTGGGTTCAAATCTTGGAAACGTCCTCTTTGTAAGTGCAGGGGTAAGGCTGCGTACATCTATCCCTCCCCAGACCCCGCATTGGTGGGAGCCTTGTGTACTGGGCTGCCCTTTATTTTTTCTTTATTTTATTTGGTTGTGTCCCTTCTGAATCTGCATAAATTTATTTGCTTTCTTTTTAACAGCCTATTTTGTAGGGTGATAGTTGGTTTGTATATTCTTGCTGTTGCAGGCTGCTGATACAGATATATCAGCCTTGGTTGAAATTGAAAAGAACAGCCGCCATCGCTTTGAGTTCTTCATGGGCCTAGTTGGGGATCAGCCTATTTGTGCTCGAACAGCCTGGGCCTATGGGAAATCTGGTGGTAGTATCTCACATGCATTATCGGTTTACAGTTGTCAACTTCGTCAACCAAATCAGGCATGCATTTAAGCTGATTTACACCTTAACATATGGCACCTAATTGTGCAGGAATTCAAGTGACTGACTAAAGAAATCAATTGACAGGTCAAGATAATTTTTGATTTTCTTAAAAATGGCTTCCAAGAAATCAGCAATTCTTTGGATTTATCATTCGGCGATGATTCTGTTGCTGATGAGAAGATACCATTCCTAGCTTGTCTAGCCAGTATTTTGAAAGAGAAGTCATTTTTCCCATATGAGCCACCGGCTGGAAGCACTGGATTTCGTAATCTTATTGCAAACTTTATGAGAATATATCATCATATTCCACTTAATAATGATGTAAATAAACCTTCTCTCTTTTTTTTCTTCTGTTTTATGTATGTTCTTTATTTTATTTTTTGTTTTGATAAGTAAATATAAACAATTTCATTAAAAGGAAAAGGCATGACTTATGTTCTTTATCTGTGCTGTGTTTGTTTTTTCTTGTTTGCATGTGCATATTTAGTAGGTCTAAGTGACTGTTGTATTTGATTTTCTATTAATGTAGTGGTTGTTGCAGCTTGTAACAACTTTCTGTTTATAGTTCTAGATGCTTTTATGGCTTCTGGTCTTTTTTTTTTCTGATTTAACTGTAAAACTTCTACTGTAAACCCGCAGAGAAAAATAATAACAGGAAGAAGATGCAAGAAGACAGATTTAATGCGGTTTGGCTTGGCAGCCTACATCTATTGGGAACTGCAAAATATTCTACCTTCAAAAAATGAAAAACATAATGAAACTATCCTACCAACACAAGATGCAAAGAGACAATAGATATGAGGGAAATGCTTGACTAAAATTGAAACATGTTATCTCAGTGGCTTCAGCAGTTCGAACCAGAGGAAGAGGAAGAAGAAGAAGAAGAAGAAGAAGAAGAAGAAGAAGAAGAAGAAGAAGAAGAAGAAAGGAACAGTCAAATTTGATAGCCTAAACCCTATCAGTTGACCCTAATATGAATTAGCCTCTAATTAGTTGTACAAAGACTAAACTGCCCCCCACTTAAGTATGGGACAAGAAGTCTCTATTAAAACTGCCACATAAGCATATAACTTAATAGAAATAAAATGACTAATCTACCCTTATTCGACTAGGTCTAACACTTCCCCTCAAGCTGGAGAATATATGTTATATAATCCCAGCTTGTTACATATATAGTTCACTCTCCCTGAGCTTAAGCCTTTTGTAAACAAATCTTCCCATTGATCACCTGAGCCCACATGTTCTGTGCTTATCTCTCCAATAAGGACCTTCTCCCTCACGAAGTGGCAATCAATCTCTATGTTCTTTGTTCTCTCATGAAAAACAGGGTTAGATGAGATGTGGAGTGCAACTTGATTGTCATAGTACAATTTCATAGGTCTATCCATGGAGAACCCGATTTCTTGTAGGAGATTCCGCAGCCATACTAATTCACATGTAGTGTGTGCCATGGTTCTGTATTCGGCTTCAACACTGCTCTTTGCCACAACCGTCTGCTTCTTACTCTTCCATGTCACATGATTTCCTCCAAGAAATGTGCAGTAACTTGTAGTAGATCTTCTATCGGATACAGAGCCTGCCCAATCTGCATCTGTATACCCAATTACCTCAAGTCTTCCTCCCGGTTTGTACAATAAACCACGGCTTAGATCTCCCTTCAGGTACCTTATAATTCTAAGAACAGTATCCCAGTGAGGTATCTGAGGGTTTTGCATGAATTGGCTCACCACATTGACTGCAAATGAGATGTTTGGTTTCGTGATAGTCAAATAGTTTAGCTTCCCCACTAACTGTCTATACCTTCTAGGATCATCAAATATTTCCCCTGTATCACTGCTCAACTTAGCATTTGGCTCCATGGGAGTTTCAACCGGTTTTGCACCTAAAAGTCTTGTTTCATCCAGTAGATCAAGAACATATTTTCTTTGGCACAGATTTACACCTTGTTTTGATCTAGCAACTTCTATACCCAAGAAATACTTCAATGTCCCAAGGTCTTTTGTTTGAAAATGGCTTTGTAGAAAGACCTTTAGTTTATCGATCCCCAATTTGTCACTACCAGTTATGATAATATCATCCACATAGACCACTAATAAAATCTTTCTAGCTTCTGAATCATAGCTAAACACCGAGTGGTCAACCTGGCATTGTTTCATTCCAAAATTCTTCACCACTTCACTAAACTTCCCAAAGCAAGCACGAGGAGATTGTTTCAACCCATAAATTGCTTATTTCAATCTGCACACTTTACCATCAGTAGAAATCACTAATTGCAGATTTAGTCGAGTTTCTTGTGAAAGGAAAGAGGGGGAGGATGAAGATTTCAGCAGTAGAGAAGAAAGGAGAAGAAGAAAAGAGTAGGAAGTCAATCAGGATTGTAAAAATTAACCCTAGCTGCCTACCTCTCATTATATTTATACTTAACTTAAAGGATGAGATATAAGGATGCCCTTGGTAGGGCGGCTACTAATATAGCTGAATAGTCACAACTTAAAAAAAAAAACATAAACTAATGGGCCTAAAGCCCAACAACTTCCTAACTAAATAAAAAACAACTTGGACCAACTCAACATTCCCCCTCAAGTTGGGAGTAAATGTCACACATTCTCAACTTGCGTAGATCATGCTCTAGCTTGTTCTTTGCAACACCTTTTGTGAGAACATCAGCGAGCTGCAGATTAGAAGCAATGTATGGAAGACAAACTTCTCCAGAAGTTACCCTTTCTCTTATAAAATGTCTATCCACTTCAATGTGCTTAGTTCGGTGTTGCTGGACTAGGTTATGGGCAATGTTAATTGCTGCCTGGTTATCATAGTATAGCATCATAGGTTCTTCTACCTATACACCAATTTCTTCTAACAAGGAATAGATCCAGAGAAGTTCTGAAACTCCATGTGCCATGGCCTGTATTCAACTTTAGCACTTGATCTTGCCACCACTGTTTGTTTCTTACTCTTCCAYGAGACWAGGTTACCCCMAACWAGGGTGCACACTCCTGAAGTTGATCTCCTGTCATCAAGGCATCCTGCCCAATCTGCATCTGTATAAGCCTCTAGTTTCAACTGTCCATGATCAGTAAACAATATGCCTTTGCCCGGGTGTCCCTTCAGATAAGCAAGAATCCTATCAACTGCCTCCCAATGTTGGACTTGTGGAGCGTGCATGTATTGACTTACTACACTTATTGCATAGGAAATGTCTGGTCTTGTCATACACAAGTATAGCAGCCGACCCACAAGTCTCTGATATCTCTCAATGCCCTTTACTAGTTCACCTTCTGATGCATTGATTTTATGGTTCTGATCAATAGGGGTGCTGATTACGTTTGTTCCAAGCTTCCCTATCTCTTGAAGAAGATCCAAGACATACTTCCTTTGAGAGATAAAAATTCCATGTTTTGATYTTGCAACTTCAATGCCTAAGAAGTATTTCAGTTCTCCAAGATCCTTAATTTCAAATTCTTTATGTAGGTTCCTTTTCAGACCATCAATCTCACTCAGATCATTCCCGGTGACAACAATATCATCCACATAAACAATTAGGACTGACACCAAAGATCCCCTTCGCTTCACAAACAAGGTGTGATCAGATTGAGTCTGAGTGTAGCCAAAAGCAATCAAGGCTTTTCTGAATTTGTCAAACCATGCTCTGGGAGATTGTTTCAAGCCATAAAGTGACTTCTTAAGTCTGCATACCTTTCCCTTTTCAGTATCATTGTAAAAGCCAGCTGGAAGATCCATATACACTTATTCTTGTAGATCCCCATTTAGGAAAGCATTCTTCACATCAAGTTGAAACAAGGGCCAAGAATATGAGGCAACAAGAGAAAGAAGTATCCGAACAGAGGTCATCTTTGCAACTGGTGCAAAGGTCTCTAAGTAATCAATGCCATAGGTCTATGTGTACCCTTTTGCAACAAGTCTTGCCTTGTACCTTTCTATACTTCCATCTGCCTTATATTTTATTGTGTAAA